ACAATGTACCGAAACTGGTGACTGACTACATGTCCAAAAAGATCAAGGTTGACGAGTTTGTGACTCACACCCTGCCTTTTGACAAAATTAATGAGGCTTTTGAGCTGATGCATTCAGGAAAGAGGTAATGCTCACAATACTGAAAGGTGTAGAAGACATTTCTTGATGAGACACTGTCAAAACACAGGTTCCCTGCCCACTGGCATGTTTTAAACAGGGAGGATAAGGGTGACATATACCATACACATTCATTCTGAGATAAAGACACTTCCTCTGAGCTTCCAGGCATGTGCCAAAACACAGGCAGAGAGTAAAAAGCAAGCAACAGTAAATATGGGAAATACACAGTATGTGAAGCTAATAAAGAGGACAAGCCAGCCTCATGCTTTAGACATTGCTAAAACATTCTTCCTCAGAAATGTAACGAGACTTGAAGGAGACTTCACATTAATACACTTTTATAAGTCATTAAGCTATCAGTCTATTTTAATTAAATAGTAGATATCTGTATATTTTCAAATTATTTAAGAGAATGATCTTTTAATATGCTACATGAAATTTTTTCCCCTCTAGTTTGAACTGGGGTAGAACATCCATATGATGGATTTGTACTTTTTTAAATATAGCAGTTCCTGCCTTAATAAAGATAAATGGTGGTTTGGACTGTTCCTACTGCAAACTTGGGCTACAGCTGTATTAAATTTTCTTGTGAGGCCCAACTGCATTACATATTGAAGTGACCCTACTGCTGGTTAAAAAACCTGCTGGATGTGTGATGAGCTCTGCTGCACCTACAGCAGTGTACTTGCAAGTACTGATCAACCTGCAAGAGCAGTGCAGAGTGGGGTGTTCTGACCAGAGGATATGTTTGCCCTAACGCAGGGAACTATGTTTATCCATAATTAGGTTCATTTGCAGATGGCTAAAGTTACCAGCATTACCTCCAGGAACCAGCATGGTCTTTGTATTTAATCTCAATCTATATTTATGTATTGCATATCACTTTCTCAGAAGTTACCTGATTTATCTCATATGGATTCCTACTTTGCATAAGTCTGCAGTAACTGCTTTTGTCACAATTGGAACCACTGCACCTATGCAAATTTCATCCAGCAGTTGATCCACTCTACCAGTTACAAACTTCCATATCATTTCAGTGCTTTATTCTTACAGGAATATATGCTAGGAAATTAATAATGAAAGTTACTTGAAATTTTCCAAGCAGCCAAAAGAGAGAATACTTGTAAATATTACTGTTCCTGATAAATCTTCTTGGCTAGCTGCTGAAAACTAACATATATTTCGAGGCCATTTTTAGTTTATTTTACTGGAGGAGAGACTAAAAACCCCAAAGATAACAAGCATTAGAAACCCATTTTTAACTAGGATTTTTAATATTATAGGTATAAGCATAGTCTCATTCTTACAAAAAGTTTAAGTATGTCTCAGCAATGAAAGGGAGGGGAGAGAAGGGAGAAAATGGACTTCTTGGTAACTTCTTGTTTCTTTTCCATTTTAAGCATTCGAACTGTCCTAAAGCTTTAGAGCCAAACATGGACCTTCTAGTTGGCCAGCAACACCATAACTGCCTTTCTCTAAGGAATTTTTGATAGAAGATACAATCAAGTAAATGAAAACTGACTGGGACTACAAATAGAGTAAATCGGTAACCACTGAATAACATTACAGAATTAGTACTGGTTGTGAAACATCCATTTCTGTACTCTTTCTTCAATTAAATAGTGGCTAACTCTATCTACTTAATAAAAGCTTATTTCTACACACAGTGTTGGAGTTATTGAGCATTAAGAGTGTGACAGTGATTGCTGTGTCTTACTCGTTTTCCTCTAGTGCTTTACAGTGTGTGTATACATGACAGAAGAAGAGCATTCTTCAGGGTCAGTAGCAAATGATGTGGAATTCATTGCACTGGACAGTTTGCTAAGCACAGCTGGGGTGAGAAGCAGCATTGATATGCTCTAACTGTACTGCAAGAGTGGCCAGAACTCCAACAGCTGTCAAGCTTCTGAGACTGTTGTAGGACTGCAATGGATGTACATCCCACTCAATCTTGAAAGCAACCGTAGAGCAGAGTGTGGTTGGATGTATGACTTCAGTGTCCAGGTGTCCCCATGTTCACTTGGGAGGTCCATATTGCCATTTGTCTCAGTAGCAGGCCTGGTGTAAAGATCATAGCATAGACCACTCCAGGCACTTGCTCTAGTAGTATCTTCCAAGACTTCGGTAGGATAGTTTTGCTGTTTCCTTAAACTTACTGGCAGATGAAGAAACTTTGCAGCCAACAATGCAAAAAGTGTGGAATTGTTACCTCTAGTCAGAAACAGGATAGTGCCATTGAGGCAGAAAATGTTACTATTGGAGCAAGTGTCTGCTCTTGAGTGCTGCAGGGGACCAACAGTAAAGAGCATTGCATGATGAAGGCTTCAGGGTATGTGGGATTTTTTTGTTTCTGGAGGGGAGGAGTTAAGCCTCAATTTTGGAGTTGCAAGTTTTCCTATTTCTAGTTGAAGCGATGTGACTGGATAGGTTTCTTTGTCTTGAAACCTGGAAACAGTGCCTTGCATCCAGAAAAGCACAAACAGCAGAAAACAGACTGCAAAGCAGGGGCAGAAAGACTAGCCAGTTAGTTATATACATAAAACCTCAGTGTTTTTCAGTAAACCAAGGACACAGATTAAGACAGAAGTTTCATGTTTTAAAGAAGCCTGGTCAAAACAACTGTTGCAGAGAATGCTGAATGCAAACTGTAATCCTAGAAGAAATTCCCTTTCACTAACAACTAACTACCTTAACCCAAGCCACTACTATACAACTGGGACAATTACATCTTTTCCATCTGTCATTAAAAAGATATCCCTAAAGCATTCTGAAAATAGCTGAGGTAGCTGAGTTTCTAAACTAATAAGAATTTTGAGCAGTGTGAAGGAATAAAAAGTGACTTTGTACCAGAGGAAAGTGAGCCCTCCAACATAGCAGTGAAGCGATTCTTGGTACCTTGTAGCTCCAGCAAGGCTGGCTGAACATCAGAAAATTCAGTAGAAAACAGCTCTTAGGCTGTTCCAGCAAGAGTCTACTGTAACCACAAGATGGTATAAATAACAGCATTAGCTCAACATCTTAGCAAACTAGCTCTCAACTGGATCTAACAGATTTAAAACATTTATACTGGAACAATTGTTCTTCTATGCTGCACAGACCAGATCAAAACCACACAGTCGTGTTGTCTGCATTACATTATTACTTTAGAGAATCTGCATCTTGGAGTGTTTGTAGGAAGCTAATCTTGTAATACCAGGCTAAGTCAACAACAAAGACATTTAGAGATACCAGAGCACTTTGGTGAAAGACTTGCAGCTTCTTTCCACGCACAAGAATTGATGTCCTAGGCACCATATAGCAAAGTTTTCAGACTGCCCTGTCCTGCAAAGCAGTTGATTGAATGAAGCATGTCTGAAATAGTCTTTTTGAAACTGTTCAGCTAACAAAGGGACTCAAACACCAGAGATGTACCCCATTTTTGGTGGTCAAGGTACTGCACTGAACTATAGCATCTTGACAATGGTAAGAACTTAAGTGGACAAGAATTTCCACCAAATGACTGTGCATGAAATGCATGTGTATGCTGCTGGCTGTCACCTGAAATATGCAGGTTATTCCCACTCCTCATGCTGCTACTTTTACTCAACACTATCAGATCTCTCCTTAAATATTTGTGTCAAATTGCAAAAACAGCATGAAGAAAACCCTGACACACCCTTATTCTTATATGATAGTGAAGGGAAAATACTATGAGATTGTTTCCAAACTAATTGCAGGATTGTGTGTTTGGCAAAAGTGTATACAATGGCTAAAAATGCAATTAGAAAGTAGAGTTGTTTTTTTTTTATTTAAGTAGACAGCAACTTATGTTGATTTCCCAAATCCAATCAGCACAAGTCTTAATATATCTTCTTCAAGCAAAGACACAGCTAGATAGGTGAAAAAACAGCTTTTCACAATACTTTTATTTGATAAGTTTTGTTCTCCAGTCTGATTTGCCATCTCGTGTTGAAAGAACTGGTGTAGATGCTAACTAAGCTTTCACCTTGTTTAAAAATACTGTTGTAATATGAACTCAATATAAGCAGTTGTCATGCTGTGATTTCAATTCATAGGCAGAAATGCATAGCATCACAGATTACTTATATTAAAACTGTGCACTGCTAAATTTGGTTGTATTGGTGCAACAATAAAGAGGTCCTCAGGTGGCACATGTGGGTTTAAGGGTGAGTTCTACCTGGCTGCATGCACCTACCAGCAGGGCTTGCACTAGTGCAAGCAAACCTGGATATAACTGAAAATTCTGTCTGTTTTTAGATTAAAAGGGGGAAAAAAAGAGGGAGGGGAAAAAAAACCTTCTGTCTGTTTTTAGATTAAAAGGGGGGGAAAAAAAGAGGGAGAGGAAAAAAAAAAAGTGTTATTTCTGTTAAAGCAGCTGCAACTTTTATTTTATAGACCAAAAATGAAGCCCCCCCCATCATACACACACGCAAAGGCAAGACTGTTGTAACCATTCAAGTGAATGATATGGTGGGCAAACCTCCAGGACAGTCATCTCCTCAGTACATTACATCTCACTCAACACAGGTAATTCCACACAAGTACTACAGTCTGTTTTGTTAAAAATCTCTACTCACACACGCATACGCACACACGCTCTAGATGCATCATTTCAGGTCACTTTACTGCATAATTAAAAATAACAATAAAGGTAATGAAAACATCGCAATGATACTCTTACAGCAACAGAGGTCTGAGGCACTCAGGGTAGAGAAGACATTTTCTGGCAAATTTGGGAGTACACATGAGTCCAGTTCTATGAAGCACTGACCCTTTTCCCCCACCTAAATTCTGCAGTGCCAAGGGGAGCCAAGGGTATGCAGTACTTCATATTCTGGGTCTGTAGCAACAAATTCACCAGACACCTTGTAAAAGGTGTATTTTATGCCCATGATTGCGTGATTTAATGTCTGCATTGGTTTTACTATTTCTTGCATTACAGTGATGTAAGACTAAGTCTGCAATGGGGTCTGAAAAGTCTTTCATTACAATTCAAAAGAAGAAATAAATTCCCTCAGCAGAGAACAGAAGGGAAGTGGGTATGGGAAAAGAAAGGGTAGAGAGAAGAGAGGCTTAATCAATCCACACTCCTTAACATGACAGCTTCCATCTCACCATGCCCCATTAACAGAAAATAAAAAGGGTACATATACTGACATTACCCACTCTATGCCCAGTCTGAGGGAAAAAAGATCAGTTTTCATAGCTGCTCCCCTAAGACTTTCCAAAAGCATGAAACTCACTTAACTGGGGTGGGGGGGATATCAAAAGAAAATGCATACAGCATTGAAGGTGTTTCATTTTCACACAGACTTGTTTTGATACATACTCACTACACTGTAAGTCTTGCAAATCCAATCCCCCACAGCTACTGTGGATGTACATTTGATAAATGCCCCACAGTTAACACACATAGGGATCCCATGAATCATGGGATCTTTTTGGTTCTTGTTTCATTCCTTTACCTAGGCAAGTCTGATACATCAGTTTCACTGAGCTTTTGGAACAGGAGGCTGCCTGCAACCACTGCTTCACCAAGAAGCAGCTTATCCCAAGGAGCTGCATATATAGGGCAGAATTTTAATTTTTTTTTCTCTGTAGGAAGCCCATACTATCAAATCTCCAGCAAGAGAAACAAGTCCTGCCATTAACAGTGTGTTACCTACAGCCATGATCACCACAGAAGCCATCAGCAGAGCAGGGGACAGAACTGAAGGCACCCTGTTTTGTACATGGGTGTCTTCTCCCTTCTGTCCCCTTCTGATACACAAACAAGGCCCAGCCCATTAGAACAATATCTGCAGAAGCAGGAGCAAGTCTTTGGAAATAGAAATGCTTAAAATCTCAGGTGCCACTCGATACCAAGAGTGCCAGGGCACACTGAAGTGGTGAAAAAAACCTGGATCCCAAAATACCAAGTCCCAGTGGGAAAGGTTACCCACACTTTTCCAGCTAATCTCACGGCAGCAAAAGAAGCAATTGTGGGTCTAATTGGAAGAAAGGTGCTAAAGAGATAATTGAAGAAAAAAGAAAAATACAGCGTAAGTGTTGTAGGTAGGAGGAAAGCAGGAAATTCTTTAAATTCTTCTCTGCTTTTCCAGACACTGGGTCAGGTTCTTCCAGATATTCCTCTTATCTACAATCACCGAAAACAAAAGTAAATTATGAAATCATTCTGTTCTGTACTCTTAAAAAAATGCATAGTACAGAGCCAAAAAAAAAATAAAAAATGTCTCATTCAGATCCACCTGCTCAGTCTAGACTATCACTGGGACATGAAGTGGGGACGAATGCTATCGAGCCGCCGGGTCAGGATGTCACAGCCCGTGTCGGTGACCAGGAGTGTGTGTTCAAACTGGGCCGATCGCTTGCCATCCCTCGTTACTGCAGTCCAACCATCAGGCCACGTTTCATCTTGCCAACCACCTAGGAACAGAAAGGATGACTTTTTGCCTGTTTGTAAGTAACAGGTATCAGTTCCCCAAAGGGAAACGAAGAAATCTATTAACTAGACAGAACCAGCATCCTATTCCATCACTGCTCAATAGTAAACAAGAGTAACCATTTTAGCCCATTGCTGAACTGCTCACCTTCACAGATCATTGGTTCAATTGTAAACACATGACCTGGCTTCATGACTCCAACTGCCTTATTTTCTGCAAGAAAAAAAACATTCGAGTTAGAAAAGGTTATACCATCTTAGTAAATGAATGAATCCTTGTCCTAGAATACAGCAGCAATACTGCAAAGTCAGAGAAGCCCTTCCAGATGACCTGTTCACTTCTCTATTTTTAATTCTAAAGATTTCCCTTGGTTCTTTCCTTCTTCCCATTCTCTGTGTTATTTACTCAAGGAACTTAAAATTAATTGGTCTTTCTCTCCAACAACTAGAATTTCAACTCTAGTTCTATAAAAGCACTGAACAAATGTAATGCAGGAATTTCTGCATACTTCTATAATGAAAAACATCATTAAAAATCAATAAAAATAAGAAGCACTTAAGATATTCAGAGACGGCTTGAAACATCTTAATTTGTTTCCACTGTGCCATTAGCTCAAAAAAATTGTCAAATTTGATGTGGTTAAGTAATCCAGTGATTCCATTTGTGAAAGACACACTGGTCCCTTCATGACTCTGGGTACTGGGGTCATAGCAGTGTCAGGGGGTAATGCTGTGTTCTTTAGCTAACAGAAAACAGCAGAGAACTTCAAGGCATCCAGGACAGTAACACTGGAAGTTTTTGATGTTATATACCCAAAAAATGTTTATGTGGAGGCACATGAATTATGTACAGCATGACTCTGGGTGTGTGGTTACACTGAGGACAGGCTTCAGTCCATTTCTGCTGCCCTGTTTCACCTTGAATGGCAGGGCAGCAGCTTAGATGTGACTCTGCCTAAGAGCTGAAAAAAACACCAGTACTGAACAGGAACTGTTAGCTCCAAGGTACTCTGATGTCTGCTGCAGACATCAACTTGCATCAATTTTTACATACAAATTCCCCATCCCCCTAATTGTGCAAATGTATTAAGCTGCCAAAACCACCTAGAGGCTTTAAAGATCTCAGACATCAAGCTGCCACAACTCAAAGGGCCTTGCCTCTATCCCCACTGTCTGCTATTTCTTGCTCTCGCAACACTTTCATTTAAGTTTCTGATCTTCCGCAACTGAACAGATTTTGTCCTTTATTCCCTGTAGTTTTCATGGTTTTGTTAGATAATTGAAAGGCTTATAAAATGAGCTTTTAGCTTTTCAAACTCCTTTCATAGTAAGCCAGAAATAAGCAGCAGCATTCTTTTTATTTTTTTTTTCCCCAAGAGGCTTTAAGTCCCTCAGACCTTTCCACTTTGGTTTTGCTGTAAATCTGTACTTAAAAATACTAGAAAAACCCAACACCTTTCTTTTTGGGAACAGACATATTTGCTCAATGAAAAAAAAAAAGTTCAAAGTTTCAAATAGCCAGGAAAGAGAAATTTCCTTTTTCTCTGACTGAATTTTAATTGGTATAAAATAACTATCTCCAAAGAATCCAGATTTTCTTCATTGTATACAACAAAAAGTGCATACCAAGAACTGATACCCTTTTACCCCTGGAATTAAAAGATTTTATCTGTTCTCTGAAAAAACAACTTAGGAAATGACGACATGAAAAGTCAGGAATTGCTAGGTTATAATCTATAATTATAACATGCTAAAGCTCCTTAGATGGGAAGATGGAGACACCTGTTAGGTCTGAGGAAATAAGCATCCTATCAGGGAAGCTTTACAGCTGAGATGGGTGTGAACTCTTCATTGCTTCCATGATATTTATCTCTGTGTCTCTGTGAATGCTGTTTCTTAGTCCTGCTAGAAGAGCTGTTATGGGGCCATGGCCATTTCCAAAAAACTAACACTGCTGGGGGGCAATGGTCGTTCCTCCTCTGCCACACACTACAAAGAAATTTGCAGATCACAACACTCATATGAAGTGAAAAAGAAAACATCCAGGTCCAGGCACAACACCCATCTATACTATTCAAAACACTTTTTATTTACATCTGGAAATGGCACTAAATATTTGCTTAGACCATCTAAGGAGAGACACATTTGCTCATCCACGTCAGACAAGGATGCCTAAGGAATTCAGTTAGGATTTATGCCAAAAACATTAAGCACTTCAGCAGTATGGATGACAGCTACCACTAACCATTGGTGTAGGCACAGACTGTTTCATTATATAAATATATTCACCTTATTTAGGTTCATAAAGAATACTATAGTCCAGAGTTCAAAAAAAAAATTACTTCACAAGTGCCAAAATGCTAGTTTGATAGCTGCCAATCAACATGCTACTTTAATAGAATATAACCAAGAAGTAAATTGGATGCATTCACTGCAAATCACTCCTTGTCTACAGGACTGTGTAGGACCAGACATTAGCGTATTCTGTCTCAAACATTCTGACCCTGATGAGAGGTAGGATGTGTTCGGAGCACAGGATCCTGCAGAGGTGAGGCAGCATGTTCTGAGCCAACTGCCTGATTCACCTGGAGACTCCTGCTCAGTGCTACCTCCCCACCCTTCCCCCAACTCACTCCTCGGAGGAGGCTCGAAGGGGCTGTGCACACATGAACAGAACGGCGTGAAAAAATCTAGTTTACGTAAGAGGCTGCACCAGGTTACCTATAAAAGGGAGCAGATCAGGCCCTTTTTCCACTCTCTCACTTTTTCCTCTCTTTGTCTTTGACTCTCATGCTTTGCCCCAGCTCCTGAACATCCATGTGGTAGGACCAACTCGGGATCCGAGGGCTGGTGAGTTCTGTGTTAGTTCTCTCCCTTTTCTGACTCTCTCTCTCCCCCTGTGCTTTACTTGGGCAAAGCCCAGCTATCATACTTTACCCCCATACTTTTCACTGAAATTTGCTGTGGGAACAGGGAGATTGTGAAAAGTGGTGCTGTGTCTGGTGAGCAGCACCTTTGGATATTGGTGTGTTGTGGCTTATTAGCCAACACCTTTGGCTGTGTGTTGTGGCTTGTGAGCCTGCACCTTTAAGAGGTTTGGTGTGGGAATTGAGAAGTTACTGTACTGTACTGTACAAATTAAAGGCTCGTTACCCTCCACTCTGGTGGAAGTCAATTGTATAAAGTTAAGAGCTTGTTTGCAAACACCTTTTGGGTCTAAATACTGGGTTGGCTGCCCGAGTTACGGTGACTGTACAATGAAACCCAAAGTTCCCTGACACGTGCTGCTGTGTCTCTGTTCAGTCTGATGAGAACTGGTAACGACCATCGCGCTCCCACCGCTGGGTCATGACAAGGACAACGCAACGGGAAGAACTACTCACTGGCATAATGGGGCACGTTCGGGGCCGTATGGAAGAGCTTATGGATTCCGTGCCCGCAGTAGCTCCGAACCACTGAAAATCCATTTGCTTGAGCATGTTTCTGGATAATGTTTCCCAGTTCTCGGTACCGAACACCAGGTTTTACTGCAAAATTCAAGAGAGACAAACTCAGAGAGGTTACTTTCAACATAACTATCAAACACCATCTCTGTAGCACTCGTGGCTTCTACATCCACCTGTTCTAGCATGCAACTGCCTATGACCACTTAGTCCACTAAGTTTATAAGTAAGTGCAATAACATGAGAGGGAAAAAACAGTCTCATATAGAAGAAAAAATAACAGAAAAATAAGAAAACTCCTTTATCACAAGAATACTACTTTCTCCCTTTCATGGATTTAAGTGCTTGTAGTAAAAGGATGTTGACATCTGAAATGAAAGACAATAAAAGACTTTCAAAGCGCTTGGTAAGCTCTCACACCCAGAGCTGCAGTGCTTCTTGCAATGAATGTATGAACTATATTTTAATATACACTTATCCCTCTATTACTACGTGAAAAATGCACACAAAAGACCAAGAATGGAAGAAAAATACAGGGAAAATGGGTATCTCTACTCTTAGACAAGATTTTCAGTGACAATGCTACAGCAAATAAGAATATTTATATGCAGGACTAGCTTTTTTTACAATCCCTTCAGGAAGCCTTAAAAGTCAGAGTTTGAAACACATGAAAATGATGCGAGAAATTCCCTTTGAGCATTTGGACAAGGGAATAATAATACCATAAAAACGTTTCATCCATCAGCTAATGAAGATTCGTACCAAAAGCAACCTTGAGCCACTAAAAAGAAAAAAAACCCATGTAAATGTCTTTTCAAGATCATTCACAACTCCCTGAATATTTGCAATTCCTTCAAGAGCCAGGTGTTGTGTGGTTGTGTGGAGTCATCTTAAGCAGAGTTCACATAAAGCTAAAACCATTTTGTTCAATTCTCTGCTAATGTAAGCAACTACACCTTGAAATCCCTAAGTTGAATTTACAGAAAATGACAAGAAATTTAGATTACTGGAATGTGCGTTTTCCCAAAATAAAAAAAAAAAAAGGACATGGTGAGGAAGAGATTAATATGCTGGTTTTGTGCTAAAGGGTTGTGAAGTAGTACCATGTCCTCTGGGCCTGACAGTACAAGCAACTGATTTCAAGGCAGACAGGAGCCCTCTGCTTCCCTCTCCTACAGCTCTTCTAGCTCTGTTGGTCCAATGCCAAGAAATTAAGATGATTTAAACAGGGAAGAGGTGACCCTCTTTAACAGCTGAGACAGTTGCCAGCAGAATTCCCACTCACAGGAAATGTCTCCAATCCATTAAAACCTGTTACAGCATCTAAGAAGCTGATAAAGAAACCTATAGTGAGAATTTAAATCTCATTATAATGAACACCAAGGTGAATTTGTGTCATAGTTTAAACATCAAAGTCAGGATACAAAAGCTAAGAGACAACACATGTAACATTTGCTATATAAATACAGCACAGGAGCAAAGATAAACATTGTTCTGGTTTAGCTCCGAAAAACAAAGTGGTCATTTCAGAACAGTAATGTCACACAAACAGGTAATCTATATTCTTCACAGCTCAACTCTGCAGTGTTTTCTTCATCATGCAACAGATATATTGTTCCTATGGTTTCTTACCTTTTCAGCTTGGCTAGCTATCTCCACATTATTAACCAAGGTTACGTTCATTATTTTTCTCATTTACTTCTTATTAAATGCAAGTTTAAAGCCTTTCTAAGTAGCAACTTAAACTTCAGTCTTTAGAGGCCATAAAGTGAGTAAATTTTTGGGTGGATTTTAAGAAGCTGCAGGGTATAAAAGATATAGATGATACAAGTATTTCCAGGGACTTGGAAGACTCTTGTTTTCTGAAGCTGAACATGACATTCTCTAACTACTTTTCTATCTCTTTGTGTGTCTCAATGCAGCTGTCCTGAGTTATAGCTAAGCAATACAATTAAAGTTCTGTAGGTCCTGAAGGATATGAATCTGTCTTCTCTGGCATGCTCCCACGACTGCAAATCAAGAGCTCATAACTCCATTTATGAAATAACCACCAGTTTGGCAGGGGGAAGAGGACATGTCTAAGTGTTCAAAGAGTGCTTTGCCTTGTCGGTTCACAGTGCCACACCACAGAAATTATAAAAGTAGGGTTTTCCAAAACACATGTTGCTTGTCACGTTGTCTAAACTACTCAGATCAAGGATGTCTTATTTGCCTAACAGCCAAAAAAGGCTCTTTCCATGTAAATATCATCATCTGCAGATCAGCTCAGCATCAAGTACATTCTCCTCACCAACCCACATTTCAAACAGAAGTTGCAACCACGGCCCACAGAACTGTGCCACTTGAAGGTTATACAACACCCATCAACTGCTGGTGTCAACACACCAATGCTTCTGTGTGCTGCAACAGAAGTCACTCTGGGCAGTGGCAAATATGAGCAACCATGTTTGAGAACCAACACCTTAATGCTTCAGACTCTAGTCAAAGGGTTTACCTGCATCAATGGCTTGCATTAGGCACTCGTACGTCGTCTGGACGAGCCTCCTAGCACCCTCATCCACTTCTCCAACATAAAAGGTCTCGTTCAGATCTCCATGGTAGCCATTACGATAGACAGTAATATCCACTGCAAAGAACACCAGACATGTAGTATTAGCACTGTATTACTCACTTCTTGCCTCTTGATTTGTGAAAGGACTAACATATAAAAATGTGGTATTTTAATTGTAAAGTAAGACTGCTTTGCAAGAATTCCAGATGTAAACTCTCCCAGCACAATCAGTTCTCTCGTGCTTATCCTGTAGATTCTATAAAATGAATCAATAAGATAGTGTTTCACTGCTCAATGGTGTGATTTAATTAAAAAAGGGGGTGGGGGAAAGAGAAAAACTTCCCCACTCATGCAGCACAGATACAGCACACAGCAAGTCTACAACTGGTTTTCTAGGTAAATATAAGAACAGGAAAGAAAAGCTCTTTGCTCCATGGCAATTTACCTGCTTAAAATACTTTCTTAGAATTAATTCCAGCACTAACAGGAGGAAATTAAATTTTAAAAGGTATGTAATCATGGTTTTGCATATCGAGTTGACTTCCTGTGGTAGAAAGGGTACTTTTGTGTTTGCAAGTCTTTATCAGTCATCTGGTAGCTGCTAGAGCACCAAACCCACTGGAATAGTCATTGCACTTCAATTCAGGAAGAAATCCACACACAGACCCTCTGGTAGGTAAACAGTCAGGAAGGAAACTGTAGCAAGCAATAATCCTTCAGAAATATGGTATGTGAGCTGCTAAGAGACACCAGTACAACCTTGATAGGAAAATGTGGGAAAACATGCATCACTGTCAACAGTAAATCTGTACTGCTGGCAAACGTTTCAGAATGACATTAACACCCCACAAACACAGCACTGCCTGTTGGGGATGGATGCATGTGCAGGGGTATGCTACTCTCCCTGCATGACTGCGTGGGACTGCAGTAACACTTGTCCAGTGTACACACCTGGTAATATAACAACAGGACTGCACAGAAACCAGCACTCTGGCAACATATGCACCTAAGTTTCTTGTAAAACTGTTTATCAGAGCTCCTTAGCACAGAGTCCTTGCTACAAAGAGTCTATCTCTGTAGGCCACATGAGTACAACATTTCCTCCTGACACTGCCAGATTTGGCCAGAACATCTCACTTTGCAAACAGATCAGCTTTATTTAAGGATCTGCTCCCAGAGAATAGTGTGGGAACAAAATGTTAGGATGCCCCACTCAGAGCAGGGGGCTGAACTGGACATCACCTGCAGTACCTTCTGCATGACATTTTCCTGTGATTCCAAAAACCTATTTTGGACTTTGCATGGCTTCCAGCAGACTAGCAAATTGTAAGCAAAGAGAAAGATGGGCACTCCCTGTAACTGTTCACTGGGTACATTCCCTCCAAGATACATTTTCTATCTCCTCCTTGGACCATGTTTTGTTCCTTTTTTTAAAAAACCTTTTGAGCCAAATATCTGGCAAGCTAAAAGGATTCCAACCTGCTTCTAGAGGTAGGCCAAACCTTAGGATACACTGGTATTTATTTACAGTTAGGAGAAAAGCAAACAAATGCACTAAGCAAAGGTGCAAATGTTTGTACAAAACAAGTATCATTACTTTTACCGCCAAACGAAGAAGAAATGAAAGTGAAAACAAAAAATGGTCAAGTAATTTATAAAAGCATCCCTCACCATCCAAGAAGATGTAACTATCTTGAGTGCCATGAACAAAAAGCAGATAGTACTCTTAGGCTGTGAGATGCTCAAAAAAAATGCATGTTTTTTAATATGCACCTGTACAATGCCTCATCATTATGATCCTTTGCAGTCATCATAATCGTCACGCCCGTAGCAAAATCGTAAGGATCTAGAGCCCTCTAATTAAGAATTCACACAGAACTAATCCAGTTGAATAGTTCAATATACTTTACTCACTGTCTACACAGTCTAGAACAACTGGAACCTAGCCCACAAGTCAAATCCTCAGGCACTATATTAATGCACAGGTCAGGGTACAAGAATGATAAAGTTCTTCAAGTGGACCAAACTTCTGAAATTATGTGATTAAATAAACCCCTGAATTTAAGTATGCAAAGACCAGAGGTTCACTGATAAATGAGAACAAAAGCCTCTCTTAAGCAGCTATTTCAATCATGTTGCCTGCCAGTGAAACCTCACCATGCTGCATGGTTTAACTGGACAGAAAGTAGAAGTGTTGTGGGTTAATTTTCACAGCACTTACCATTAACAATATCTCCTTCCTGCAGTGGCCTCCTGTCAGGAATTCCATGACAGATCACTTCATTCACTGACGTACAACACGACTTAGGGAAATTATAATAATTCAGAGGGGAAGGATAGCAATTCCTTGCAATACAAGCCTAAACAGAGAAGATACAATTTACACGTTACATTGGGAAGTTTTGAACAAAGAAAAAATGTAGAAAAGACCGTAAGCACAACAGCTTTAGAGTAAAAATGATAGGCTGAAAAGCAGTGACTCTTGAAAACAAGATTTCTTCAAGCATTTCTTGGCATTATAGTATTTTGTCATGCTTCACATTTCTTACCAGGAAGAAAATGAAGCCAATTTTGTTTCCGTTCATTTTTGTTTGACTAAGAATGATTAAATATTTAGGTTTAAAACAATGCATGGCAGTATTTATTCAGTTAAAAAAACAGTAATTTTCAATTACTGTTTCTAAGCATCTGGTCTAAGTATTTTTGCAAGACACACAAACTAAACAAAATAATATTTAGCACCACTCTTGCACCTCTAGCTTCAAAACCCTAAGCTGCTTCCCTGGCACTCTAATAAATATCTTTTTGGCATTTTTGCAAAACTCACATTTTATATACACTTACATATACATACACCTACACACTTTGTGACATACTGAGCAAGATACTGAAAAAAACCCTGTGTTAACCTTTTTTTTTAATTTTTTTTTTTTAAAATTACTGTTTTAAAACAGCAAAGTACCAATTAGGGATATCAGTCAGTATGAACAATCTGCCAAGAAAGTGTTTCCAGAAACTGCTGAGGAGTGGTAACAGCATGTTAACTTCTAGTTGTTCATATTAGACATTATGCCTAATCAAATAATTTTGTATTTAATGCAGTCCAACGTTAATCTCTGCCTAATGAAACCCAGTAAGTTCCTTATAATCTTAGCACAGCAGCTGCAAATAAAGATAAAAAGAACCAGAAAGCTAACAAACTTAACTACACCAAAATCATTGACTTCCCCACTGTGCACAGAAATATCCTCAATTATCAGATTACATGTTTATAGAGAAGACAGCAAAGAAAAATAATTACATAATTCAAGTATCTGTGAACAGTTAAGCCAGGAATATTCTTGAAAACATATTTCAAAAACATCACTGGATTGTGGCTTTACTTTGTCTGACTGCATCAAACCTCTTGTTCCAATTCTCTCTGCAGCACCTCAGTTGTGATTCCCAATCATAAATAACTAAAACTTTCTCCTCTGTACATCTTAACCAACGATACAGAGCACAGTAAGTGCATGACCTACACATGATGTTCTTTATATAATGGTATCTGTGGAGCAAAAAGTCTTTAGAAGAAAGAAAATGATAGGACGTTAACAGAGAAAGCAGGGGAAGAAACTTAGAAAAAATCTGCAGCCATAAATCACAGAAGCAGCTGATACAGAGAGGCCCAGGAGTTCCTGACCCATTTTGAACCTACCATTGTGCTGTAGCACATTTCCAACACCTGCACTACCCACTAGCTTCAAACTGGGAAACAGTTCAAAATAAAGAAAAGGAATTCATGCAACAACAAAGAAAGCCACACAACAGTAATTCAAAAATAAAGAGATAGAAGAAAGCACTTATAAACACCAGAATAATAATAGAATCATCTTACTAAATGGACAGCATGATCAATTTCTTCAGTAGTTACTCCTGGTTTCACCATCATGGCAGCAACATCCAATACTTCTCTAGCAAGCTGCAGATGAAGCAATTGAAGATATAAAATGGATTTAAAATTGATGTATGGGCCTATTTTAAATTGATTTAAAACAGACCAGGACTGCACTCTAGAAGATTAGCAACCCATTTTCTAGAGCTACACCGAGATCACCAGGAAAGCTGTGTGGAGTTGGGCTCTAGAAAGACTTTGAGATGTCTCCAGGCTATGTTACTACCAAGCCACCTCTGTGAGACTTGAAAATACCCCAATTAAGATTTGGACCGTAATTTCCTTGAATACCACAATCTTAGATCAGACTACCTAAATACATTTCAAAGTTTGACTTCATGCACAAGTGATTACAACTGAACAGCTCTTCTCCAAAAAATATTAGGGATGGGACTTTGGCTTTTTAGTTTTTATTTAATGCTAACTCTAGGAGAAGAAAAAGTTCTCATTTATGTACTGTAAAGCATATTCTTAACACTAACAACGTCTCAACCACAGATTGTCTCACTAGTAATTACAAAGGCAGGAAGCAGATCAAAGACATCTTTCTGCTTGCAAAATAGTCCACCGTGAATTGGGAGTCATAAGGAGAGAAAAAACAAGAAAATACTACATGTCCCAAACTATTTTGCAGTGCCCCAAAATGGGCTGAAAATTTGTACTCTCAAATGTGCTGTCAAACTGGTAAAATCACTACAGATTTTTAAATAATATACAACCACTTTGTAACGAAAATCGAAACTCCCTTACCCTACACACTACTCGCATCCCTTCTATATCCTCAGATGAGAGTATTTTTATTTGAGAGGTTCCTTTTAAAGCCTGTTCTGATTCAGACATTCCTGAAAAGAAAAACAGGAGGAGGAGGGGAAAAAAAAAGGAAAAAAACCCATGTTATATAGGGGAATGATTGCTACACAAGTCCAATCAAGGAACTTAAATAGCTTAACGATGGCAATAGAAGTACAGACTTTCCTACCACAGACAAAAATAACAAACCCACCAAGAAATAGCATTATGATCATTATTCAGAGTAACTTGAATTCATAAGCCTTCCACAACACCATTATGACCACATATGCTCAAGATGCCATTCAGTGTATAAAACCATCATGTCTAGTTAGTAAAAACACAACCTTAAAAATTCAATTTACGAGGCAATTTTTTTATTCTTAGAAAAGTATGTTTTAGCTGATTGACAAAAATAAATAGCAATAAATAATATTCTAAAAGTGCCATAAATGATCATATGAATTTGTGAATGTATCTGGTTATACTATTGCAATAATCAGCTGATAAAAGCATCTAAATTCTTCCTACCAAATTCTGTGCAAGTTCAGCTTTATAGATGAACGACCCCCTTAAATGCAGTATTTTGTGTTGTTCAGATACCTACAGTCTGTAAAGAATAACTGAAGAGTGGCCTAAGATTAAAAAATAATGCTCACAGACTTTATAGCAGCTTTTTGGGAAAATGCAAAGCACCAATACTGATATAAAAGGGGAAAATACCAAAACAAACCAATAAGCAAGTCACTTCAAATGCATTCCCTCTGTGTCTAAAAACGTCTAGAACTCATGCACCAGGAGTTTTTAGGGTTGCTTATTGCAGGGTTTTTTGAGGTTGGTTATTTTATAACCCATTTTTAACAGATACACTGATGCCACTGAGAATAGCTTAGCAGAATTCACCTGTAACAGTCAACTGATTACTGTTTGTTACAAAGTTAACAACAGGACTACGACTCATATTTGGGTTTTTTTTCTTTATTCCAAGAACACCTTTGAAATATAACACATTACAAACTCTGGACTTCTGAAAACTCAGTAAGTTAATGTGGGGAAGAATTAAAATGAGACGGACAGATAAAAGAGGTTCTACCCTCCAGTATCTCCTTCATTCTTTAAAGGGTTTTTTTCAATTTAAAAAAAAAAAAA